AAGTATAATTTACATGCCATATATATATTAAAGTTCTGCATATATTCTTGTTTGTTCAGGAACATAAAGATGCTATATATAGAACTCTTTCAACATTTTTATATAAATGATAAAAATATTTTTCAACTTACAATCCAATTATTATGAAATTCAAAACTTCATTGAAAGTATTATTTTTTTGCTTAGTTCTCAGCCTTGATAATTCAGAATCAATTAACATTTATTAGGAGCACCAAGATAAAAACCATAAAAACAGACTATAAATGAATTATTCCGCATCTCTTTACTCGCGTGACATGGTTGCATCATTAAACCATCAAAAAATCACACGATTTTTCGTGCAATGTTTATTCAAGGATGTCACTAAAAGGGATCTCGGCTTTTTCTATTGGCACACATCTCAAATGTGATGAAATCTAATACATGAAGTCCAGTGCAAGTAATGGACACGGATGTTTCATTGAATATATGGCCAGCACACATATGTACAAGTGTATAAAACACTTTTCCTAAACATATAAAGTATGTAGATATCATAAACATTTTATTACTATGAGACCGCACCGCAATATTTCTGTTGGTATTGCGAAATGTAATCCGAAACGTGTGCCATCCGCTTTAATGCAATTTCAGCAAATTGCATTAAATTTAATTCTGATGTCCCATGAGTGGCGAACGAGCAAGTGCGAGGAAGCAACTGAGTCGCTACAATGTGACAGTGTTAAAGTAATTACTTGCGAATACATCACTAAGCAACTCTTTAAACACACGCTTCTTAAAGAGATTTGAATTATTCTTATATGTCCTTTAAGTTCCTAACAATAATGCAAACATAACGATGAGCAGAGTATGGGGTATGTACAAATGGTGCTAATAGTGATATACTTCCGTTTAAAATGTAATCCAATACCAATCAGGCAATTTTTTTGCTACTTCAATGCGAACGAATGCAAAGAGGGTTATTATCAATGAATTGATATTAAATCTCAGTTTCTTCGATTTTATTGCCCTAATGGGCAATGGGGATGAAGTTTGTGCTACCCTACTTCACGTGTTAATACCTTTTTAAGTTTATACCAAACAAAATACTTTAATAACCATAAACCGCAATTTAATAACATAATGTGAATTAGGTTTCATTTGATAGTTTGGGAAAGTTATTATCTACTTGAGATATTGAGTATCAATTTTGTTCATTTTTATAAATTCTATAGTCGTCTTCCTGTGCCATGCATCCGGAAAATGCATCCGGTTTCTCTGATCGCACGTAATATGCATTGACAATTAATTCATGTTTTTATTATTACTACAGGAGTCCACTAATAATATATATCTTAGAGTATATCTTAGTGTTGGAATAAAGCTTAACATATAAAGGTTCTATTTGGTAAAAAAATCTATTTCATTTACTAAAGTAATTAAGTTAAATATTAAAAATTTTAAATAAAACGCTAACTAACTGCTCTAAAAATATGGAATACAAAACTACGAGAAGAAAACGTAGTAAAAACAAAACAAGAGACTATACATCTGTAATGATAATAATAAATTTTTAATTAATTCTTAAAAAAACAAAATCGGCTTATAAATTTAATTGAAGTAACAAAATAAACTCCTTCAATTAATTCAAACATGCAGTCAGTACTCAACTTAGCAATCGGTGTACACATATAGGTATAAACAAAAGCCAAACTGCTAGGTAACTACATTAAATAAACACAACAAAATACATTTGAAAAATACCAGCTAATAGTATTAAAAAACTGGAACAATATTATGTATCATAAGTGCCAGTTAACATTATTAAAAAACAGAAAAATAATTTCACAAATAATGTCTGCCTAAAATCTCTATACTATATAAACATTTTCAATGCTAAAAATGAAAACCTATTCTTTATCATTACGGATATTTGTAGTTACGGAACTCGTTACTCGAAAAATTTTTAAGTATAATAAAATTAAAAAAGCATGAGAATACATAAAAGTTTACTAAATACTAATATATCAATACCTCTATGGTTTACTATATTTCAAAACATATACATACTATTAATAGGAGTCTTAAATTAGTTAATTTCAGTAATTTCTTGATTCTTGTAAGACGTCAACATTTTAAAGTCTAAATGGACATTATTGTACTAGAACTATAAGTATACTATCGCCCAGAAGAATACACTATGCGTATTTTGGCAGTAAATAGCATCTTCACACCAAACATTATAATTATCTAATTATTGCGATTATTTAAGATTTTAATTTATGCAAAAATACGAAAATAAAATTAGTGAATATAAACAAAATTTTAAGTTATGAACATTTCTTATTTTTAAATGTAATTAAAAATACATATATTACAGTCAAAGAACAATAGAGCGAGTGAAATACTGTTTACTTCTGATTTAGTTCTTATTTTGGGAATCTGGAAATGCACAGCGAATGAAGCTAATTTAAAAACAAACAAAATACTGCTTATTTACAAATCCATATTTTATTTTGGAAAAATAAAAAAATAAATATATTTACACACTTTTAATTTGAACTCTTTGATGTTCTTAAACAAGAACACTAAAACATTAGATCTACACCATTTAGCTATAGATCAGTTCAATATATTTTATATTAAGAATTCATTAATTTTTAATTTGACTTTGCCATGGTAAATCTGCTTCACATGAACAGTTGTGTTTTAAAACAATTATTTATTATTCGCTTATATACTCTTATTAGCATTAAAACTATCTATACGAAGATTTTCTACAGATATTTCAAATAATTGTGCTTCGATTTTTTAGTGCTTTTAGCTGGCATTTTAGTTGTTTCTTGTTTTTTTTTCTTTTCTGCTTTTACTGCTCAGAGCTAACACTTTGTCTTTTGATTATCTTAAAGCATACATTATAGCTAAGTGAAGTACTGACTGCACGTTTGAGTGAAATGAAGGCGGTTACTTCGTATTTAAAACGAATTTAATTTAGTAGGGAAATTTATATCTAGTATAGCATTTTGAATGTAAGACTTATTACGTTTTTTAAAAGAAATTAAGTAATTTGGAACTTTTCAGCACGATATTGAGAGAAATTATACACAGATAGCACCCATATCTTATTACTTAAATGAATTGTTTATTCATGTGAAGACCTATTGCTTGGAGTTATGGCAAAATTATTTGTGCTGGAAATTATGGGAAAATGCGAGTATTTATAAATATGTTAAAAACTTATATATTTACTATACTTATTTGAGATAATATTATTGTCTTATAACTGGTAATGGTGAACGTGATAAAGATTTGTGAAGGGTGGTTGATGCTTAATGCTAAAATATTGTAAACTCAACTATGAGACGTCTAGCTCGTTATGCTGAAGCAAAATGTTTTGCGGATTAAATTTTTTAAGAATATCACAGTGTATTAAACATTTAGAAAGTGTCATCCGCGATGATGATCCAAACAAATATTATTAACCATAATGGTTATAGTTAAAATCTTGAAGAGATAAGGTACATTGTATACTATTTTAAATTTTATGCTATTATGTGTTTAGCATTGATGAACAACGGAAAATAACAAATATATAGATTTGTGTGAATACTGAAATTATTAAACTCCTATTTTTTACATACAATATATAAAATAATAATCAGTATAAAACTAGCGTCATATCTTTCAATTGAACCTGGCATTTGCTGTTAATTAAGGTATGTGAGTACTCTCACCCATAACATTAGGTCAATAGTGCACATAAAAATTGAAATTAGAGTCAAAACGTAGATTGCAAATGCTCTAACTAGTTCGAACCTATGAAAGCAAGATTTAACCAAAATACTGAAATTATATTCGGTTTTGTTTATCTGACCAAAAATCGGACGATCGAATAATTAAGTCATGAAAATTGTTTGAGCTACGATTTATATATTATCATTCTATATTATTAGTAATCACTCGTCATGAACACAAATACATATAATTTGCTCAAAGTAATTGATACGTTTAGCATATGTAGAAATTCTTCTGATATAGACATAATTTGAGAATAAAGAATTGTACACATTGTATGGCAGGCAGGGAAGCAGGCGAGCAGCGTGTTTACTGTGTTTATTCGCATGCATGTGATAATTGAATTTTGGTGAGCGTTGGACAAGACCGTCTAAGCGGTATCAGTGCTAGGGGCCACAGCAGAGCACATGGAGATGAGCAAATACTAAGTACAAAGCAACTTACTTACCCACATCTCATTTTGAACATTGAACGCACCATGAATGAGGGCAGTCATTTATGCGTTCTATAAGCTTAGGAAGAAAAAATATTCGCACTTCGATTTAATTTTTTTAATTGAGAATAATTATTTGTTTGAACATTCACCAGATGGTACTTGAAATGCGATGGACTCTTCGACTGGAAAACAGCAGTTTCAAGTGTAGTAATATAATATACAATATTATACATTTATAAATTAAGCAATTAATAAAACATTTATAAAATTAATTACCTTTAGAAATAAAAAAATGGGGGATTAATGGGGTCGAGGCAGAATATGGGATTGCAATAGAGATGAAATTTATAATAATTAAATACATATATTGCGATTGAGGCCAGAATTAACACTCCCATATCCACTTAAATTAAATATTTTATTACGATAAGTACTAACTCATGTTAATGAGTACAATTAAGGGTTTGATTCAATTTTTTCATAAATGAGCCCCAAATTAAGCAGAATATATTGAAGTAGTAACCATACATATTCATAACGTCTTGTTTATCAATAATTGCTTAGTAGTCCATTTATCACAGAGTCTACTTCTCTATAGAGAAATAGATCTATTATTCTGGAAAGAGTATTGCACCGATACTTCTGTTCACCTTTATAAAGTCTTAATTACGTTGTTATAAAATATATATTTTCTTTTAATTTATTTAAGAAAAATGCAAAATAAAATAAAATATAAATTTTTTTATCAAGAGAACTTCGAAATCAAAGTGATCAAAATAAAAACACAAACCTTAATTTCAACTGAAAGCGCGTCAAAATGCCACCGGTAAATATGTTCTTAAGCAATACTAGTTTCTACTATATTGCTATTGTACTATATTATATTAAATTTTAATAAAATTATATTTTAATAAAATTTATGTTAA